GTAGCTCGCTAGCAGCCTCGCACCGAGGACCTATCCACGTCATCATTTACCCAGAATGCTTTGCGTGTAAATAAAACGGCCCCGTCCCGTGTTAAAATATATTTTTAAAAAATTACAAAACTGAGTATTTTTACAGTCTTTATTTTACAGTTAAAATAAATGTTTATCAAATAAAGTTTAATGTTACAACTAATCGTGGATCCCTTTAACCCCTCAACAGTCTTTGTTCCACCGGCGGGCAGAAACAGTGTGGTTTCTGCCTTTAAATGTTTCCAAATGGAGGCTTTTTTTTTAAAACCAGGGTGTCAGTCCTCTGATTCTTACCAGCATGACACCTTTACATAGAATAAAAAATATCAAAAGGTTTTTAACGAATTTCAGGGGTGACTGTTAATCTGATTCTATGTTTAATTCCAGTTTGTGTTTTAGTTGTAAAAAGTTCTTGCTTGTGCTTTTGGATGAGATGACTTCCTGTTGTTTTTGTTTTGTTCTCGTTCCAGGATAAAAATAAAACTTTAAAGTTTAGCTTTATTGTTCAGATCTTCTAAAAACTAACAATTTGAATTTAGTTAGTTTGTGTATTTGTGACAGCAGCTTTAATGAACTAAACATTTCTCTTTCACAAATGGTTTACTTATTCAGTGGTTATTTATTGCTGATGTTTATTATTTTTTACTGCTTTCTTTATTTATTCTGTCATTCAGTTCACTCAACAACCTGGCTTTTGAAAGTTTCTGCTTCTTTATTTAAAAAAAAAACTTTGTTTGTTGCAAATAAATTTTCAAAAACAGACTTGACTCATTTGTGTGTGAATTCTTGTGTTGCATTTTGTTACGGTCCAGCTGCTGAACTGATAAAAGAAGAAACTGAAGCTGAAGCAACAGGAATGTTTTGACAAAGTCAAACTTCCTGCCCAGTGATCTGAGGATCAAAGGTCATTTCTAAACTATTCTACAAAGAGAACAAGTATTCACTGGTGGAAACGTTTTTAGACAAATGCCCATCTTTCAGGAGTGGACATCACGCAAATTCATCCTGAAGGTCAGACCATGCAATGCTTAAAAAATGCGCTCCAACGCAGATTCAATGGGTCGAAGGTCATGGCTTCTACTCTCTAATAACACGATGGCAGCAGGACTTCAAGTACACATCACTGCAGCAAATAGTAAGGGGCGGGGGCGGGTCCGATGTGTCAGACACATACCATATTTGGAAGTAGCATCATTGCACTCCAGAAATGAAGCGGGCGCCATTTCCTATACCAGGTTAACCCGAGACATTAAACCTCTGGGGTTATCTTTCAGAGTTTGAGGTCAGGAGGGTGGATAGAAATGAATCACTAAGGGTTAACCTGAGGTTTTAATTTTGTGGGGTTAACATGAGGTCATTTAACGGTTAGGGTTAGGGTTAGCCTATAACTGGCATAATAGTTTTTATGAAGGGGAAGTGTCCCCCTCATATTTAAAGGGATCCCTGATTAGTAGTAACATTAGACTTCATTTGATAAACATATTTTTTAACTGTAAAATAAAGACTGAAGTTTTGAAAATTTTGAAAAAATAAATTTTAACAGATGGAGCCATTTTATTTACACACAAAGCACTCTGGGTAAATGATGACGTGGATAGGTCCTCGGTGCGAGGC